AAAACAAGATTAAGGGAGATCCACACCACACCATCCAGTATCCTAGTAATCCAGACACAACCCGAGTGGGTGAGATAAGGCTCAAATCTTATTTGAGGCCCCAGTAAGATTTAAAACCCTACCTTGTATAACGCTGTCAAGTATCTTAACCAGGAGGCAATTCTGTCTATGAGACCCCCCTGTAGTGCTGGCTGACTTTTGATTTACTAAACCAGGTTATATTGCAAAGAGAGCTGGGGGAACACTTTTTTGTGCTGCAGGCCTTTGGCTTGCACCCATTAGTAGCTTTGCCCTTACTTCTCTTTGGAAATTACTCATCTAGGGAACATGTTTGTTTACAAGGCTAGGCAGGAACTAACCAAGAGTTCAGAGGATGTCAGTGATCCTGGGTGACTGGATTTTGCCAGGTAGCACCTAGCCACCCCTGGCATGTCACCCTTAACCCCTCTGTAATGACACTCTCCGTTTCTGAAACACTGATAATAAAGAGCACATCACAACGCTCTGAGTATAAACACGTTAGGGATGGCGAGAGCCTTCTCAGGGTAATGAAAGCCCAGTATGTGGAGAAAGAAAGTGCACCGTTAACTTAATAGGAGTTTCATAAGATCACGTGCAAAATACACTTCTGTGTCTTCCTTGAAGGAACAGTGCTGCTACACCTTTACCTTTTGCTGTTGTCTTCATTGACAGGTTGTCCTGTTTCAAACAGGTTTAGATCATTCGGGACTCTGAAAGTCTCCTTTGCGTTGCTGTTATCACCCTTCTGACAGCTCTGCTTTTCCTTCTTCCTCTCCATTAGGTTTTGCAGCCGCCTTTGCTGTTGCTCTTGGTAAGCCTTAAACTGGCTTTTAAAATGTTCATTCACTTCTATGTCTGACTCCATTGTTTACTAAAAGCATAACAAGAAGAAAATAAAAAGCGACAGAGAGCAGGGATCAACATCGCTTTGATAAACACCCTCTTCTAGCAGCTGCTTCACAGTTTTTCCTCACTGACCTCTGCAGTCGCCCTGCCGCCTCCTCCTGTCAGCCACAGCTCTCTTCAGCCCCACTGCCTTGCCTCAAGTGCCTTTTCCCACGAAACGGCTTTTAAACAGTCTTCAGAAAGGTTTCCGGGTCTTTTTCACTCTAGCCTTCAAAACCCAATGTTTTAAGATGGTTTTAAACAGGTCTGTTTAAATAAACATTTTTACAGAAGAGCACATTGGGGTCAAATCCAAGCGAATGTGGCAACCATATTATACTGATTAAAGGGAACGCTGGCTCTTTGCGACCCAGGTCCATCCAGCCATCATTCCCATGTTTCAAAGAAAGGTGCAGGTCCCCCCATTTTTGGCTTAATGTGGGGCTGACAGGAAGAGAGATCGCTGTTTCTCCTAATGCTGCCTGTGTGTACTAGACACCAAGAGTGTGGTTTTCATCTATCCCCCAAATTTTGAAGCATCAAGTGATAACATCAAAGCGATATTGCTACCCATTTAAACATCTAGACCTTCACTTTGAGTAAAGACGAGCAGTTTTCTGATGTATTCCAGCCCCCTCTCCTTCTGTTTGACATTTACAGTCAGCAAAAAATCCGGTGCACCTTTGGTCTAGTAAAACACAATCAGTAAAAGCTTCCAAAGGCACGCCCTGCACTGAGTAAGTAACGGAGGCCCTTTCCTCACGCTAAGGCAGCAATCATCTTGATAAAAGTGCCAAAATACACGCGATGTCCCTGCGTGTACTGTATGGGCAGCGACGCATTGCAAGCAGCTTTATGGCGCGTTAAGGACTGACAAGTGCCAAGAGCGGAGCCACTGCCTCCGCACAGCCCCCAGCCCCCTGGGTACGAGCCTGTGGGCAACCGTTAGCCCTCCAGCCCACCTGGGTAGCGACTCCAGACCTGGCACAGGGGGGGATTTGCCACAGAGC